TGTACTGTTCAGCATGCAGAAGGAATCTGGATAAGAAGCAAAGGACCAGCTTGCTCTGATCACTGTTCACAGAAAGGGAGCTCACCCTCTGCCTTTCTGTGGGCCACAGATCATTCAGAGCAGTCTGCTGCATTTTGTTTTTCACGGGCTTCCTATAAGAAAACCGAAAACCGTTTGGAAAACAGGAGGTTGTACTGGCCCAGCAAATTAATTATTTAATTAATGCAAAATTATTCTCCCCATCAGGAGTGTCACTGGGGCTGCTTTGATCTCAAACAGAATCAAAGCAGTACAGCTTGAGGGATTTTTGGATCAGCCACCACGAGGTGTACAAGTACATTAGCCCGTATGCTGTGACTAAAGCCACATGAAACAGAAGCTTTATGCTGAGAGTAGCAGGCAGTGGGCACAGTGATGCCTCTCATGACCTGCTGATGCCTGTTATCTGGCTTCACAGTCAATTTGAAAAAAAGAACACGAGACAGAGAGAGGGTGCAATCCAGATGAATCCAAAGGGTCGTCGCTTTTGTCAACACCTCTTTCCTATCCCAATGAAAAATAATGCCCTTCTCCTTAAGACAAAAGTCTCTGGCTTCTTCACTTTTCCAAAAACTGCTTTCTCTTGCTCCCCATGTTCCTTGTCCTGGATGCTCTAATCCCGCTAGATTCCTCTCGTCATCTGTGGATGCCGATCCTGTGCTTCGGGCCGGCTGTGTGCCGCTCTGCGCAGAAACAGTGTCGCGGCGGCAGGGCCTGGAGACAGACATCTCTTAGTTTGACTGTGAGCTGGCTGCTGCGATGGACTGCTGTCCTCAGCAGGGTAGATCTCGCCTTGCGCCCCCTGCTTGGGTTGGGCTCCAGCTCCCCCGTGACCCAGTGCTGGATAAGGCTGCTCCTAAATTGGACGGCTGGATTGCTGGGACTGCGAGCGTCAGTGTCTGCACCACCAGAGCAGCTCCTCCTGCCTCACAGGATCAATGTGCGTGAGCTGGAGCTCCAGGCTTCTGCAAGTCCTGCCCTGCTGCCGAAGGTGATGCGGTGCTGCTCTCTGCCAGCTCAGCCTGCAGACTGAGACAGTGGGCGCACCTGTGCTCAGAGAACACAGCCAGCACCGCAATCAAGAGCTTTCGGATGGAAAGACAGCGGGCCAAGATGCCCCACCGTGGACGAAGCGCACTGGGGAAAGAAAGCCCCTCTGAGGAGACTCAGAGCGTCGCGCCGAGCCTGTGGACAGAAGAGAAGAGGGTCAACTGGGATCGAGAGAAAAACTCATTGAAGTCCCCTTCTCTCATCTTGGCCTGGTTGGAACCAAGACACCAATCTCTCCATTTGTCTGCAAAGGTTTCCAGTTAAAATGAAAGAGGCTGGAATGTTATGAATTGTCCAGCACAGAAAAAAAAAAAAACATTTATAAAATTAGACAAATTGCAATGATATTGACATTCCAGACAGTTTCCCATGATCTTTGTCCTTCAGATCTGCCACTGACCTGGGCAAACTGAACTGAAGCAAAAACAGGCAGTTTTTACTGGAAAGCACATAAATCCTCACATTCTCATAGTCCACAGAAATTGAATACATAAATAAACGTACATTTTTCTAATACTTTTATTTCAATAATAGTGTTCAAATAAGCCCCCATCAAACAGAAACTAAATGGCTCCCCTACAAGTTAGATATCTGGTCTGTTGCCACGCAGTGTCTGTCTTTGTCTTGTCCTTGGCTATGGTGTTTGTCCAGCCTGGAGACGAGATAGGTAGTGTCCTACATACAGCAGGAGATGCAGAATCCCGCCAGGGAGAATTCAAGCTTTGTTGCATCAGTGATCAAGCGCAGCCAGCAGGCAGCTCTGAGACACAGTGGCGCAGGACTTACTAAATGACCCTCGCTTGTTTGTTCCCTTTGTTCTGGGCAACCCAAAAACACTTTACGTGAACTGGAACGTGTATACCATTTACCTGGGATACAAGCACCTACCTCCGTAAAACATCAAACAGGCCATCAGAGAGCCAAAATGTTGGAAATATCGCTGGAGGCTCACAATATGAAGTAATAGGGATGTTGTCTACTTTTTTATAGAATATATGTCATAAACTATAGTTCAGGTGGGGAGCTGCGTCAGCATGCGTAGGCTGCAAAGGACCAGGTAACAGGTTTATTCCCAGCTGAAAAGAAAAGAAAGGAAACACAACGTTTAGGCTGCGTAGCAGAAGGCTCCACTGCCGAAACATTGTGTTTCCTTTCTTTTCTTTTCAGCTGGGAATAAACCCGTTACCTGTTCCTTTATAAACTATTTATTGAATACACGTTGAATAGGTACTGTATATTTGTAAGCTTAGCCCAAGTTCATGCCTCGTGGGTTTAATTGTTGTGAAAACGGTTCAACAGCAGGTAAATGTTATTTTTTGTTGTTGATGCACCAATAATCTTAGTAGGCTGTGGCACGTTTTTTTTTTTTATCTTAGTCATAAGTGCTGTTAGTTCAAAAAATATTGCAGGTTACAGCGTTTGGGATTCCCAAGTGAGCATGATTAGGAGCCAAGTACAGGAGCTGAAACCATATGTTTCTGCTGGATTCTGC